ACAAAGAAAATTGAAATATATATGAAATATGTCTTAATTCCTCCCCGTACCACTATATGTAACTACAGCACTCTATAGATTAACACGTAACGGTCCACAAATAAAAAATAAATAAATAAACAAATAAATAAAATAAAAAAATCCCTCGCCATAAAAAAAACACAAAGAGTTTCAGTCAGGTCAGGTCAGGCGGTCCCCTTAAATAAGACAAGGGTGTTATTCTCAGCCCTGTGAGGTGTATATAGTACTTAACGTGTGTGTGTGTGTGTGTGTGTGTGTGGATTGTGGCGCCGCTCTGAGCCTCACAATTAATAAAACGTGATTGGTGTTTCATCTACGTCAGTGTGTTGTGTGGGTTGTGATGACGTCAGGGATATGTTATTACCAGAGAAAATGTGCCGGGGCGGTGGGGGTGAGGGGTGAGGGGTGAGGGGTGAGGGGTGAGGGGTGAGGATAAGCTTAGCGGTAACAGGAAAAAAACAAATGACACTTAACCTAACTGTTTTCTTTTGAACTGTATTTACATTTAATGGGAAACTCTGCTGGAGGGAATAAAACCTACCTACTTAAACACTACAGCCCTAAAACTTTTTATAATGAGTCAACCTAAAGTGTTAGTCATATAAAGTTACCACCAAGTATAAATCTCGCTCTGTATCTATATATCAACCCTTTCAATGTAACTCCTTCACGTTCCTTCTAGAAGACTCCCAACCACAATTAAACTTCAAAAAGGAAAAGAGAAATTGGTATTCATTTTTATACGTAATCTGTTCTTCCTACCATCAAGGTGTTTTATTGAGAGGATTAACACACTGGTTCTGTGTGTAGCTGTGAGCGTTGGCAATCGAGTTTTTCAGTCAGCATATTTACCCGCGAAGCTTCGTATTTACAAAAACAGTGATGTGGGTTGTTGGTGCAATGGGCTTTAGTCCTTAGTGCCAAGCTGACCTAACCTGGCCTGGCCGTGAGTAATGGAGGTCATGGGGTACATATTTGTCATTTTTCCGTGTAAACATTGAACTAGGGTCAATGAAGCATTAATGGTCTCAGATTGCTATAATCTAGGTTTATTAACAGACGTATATATCAATTGACCTTACTTGGCTTGAGTTTGGTCTTTTCCCCACACAATCATTATCCTTCTCGCCAACAGCATCGAAAAAATAGCCGGTTATCACACAACATTTTCATCTAGTCATTTTGGACCACACCTTAAAATTACCTTAAATATTACAAGAGATAACTGAACCCTAAAACAACAGTATCGTAAGACCACAAACCTACCTTAAAAATTACCTTAAATCCTACAAGACATATTTCTATCCCTTCAAAAAAGTTACGACACCTAATTTGTCAGGACAAAAACTGACTTATATTTTCCGGAGTTAGGACGAAAAATTGTGTTACAATTTTCTGTGTTAATAAAATATGGTAAAATTGTGTATAAACTTTGGTGTTTTTTCTTATAAACTGTAGTAGCCATTTTGACACTGTAAAGGCGAGTGTTTCTAAAAAAAATATTATTAATAACTTCTTTGGGGACGCTGATGTAATACGCCTTTAAATATAATACCCTTTTAAATGTAATACGCCTTTAAATGTAATACCCTTTTATATGTAATACGTCTTTAAATGTAATGCGCCTTTAAATGTAATACGCCTTTAATTTAATTCCCTTTTAAATATAATGCGCCTTTAAATGTAATACCCTTTTAAATGTAATAATTTTCAAATGTAATTCGCTTTATATGTAATACGCCTTTAATGCAATACGCCTTTAAATGTAATACGCCTTTAATGTAATACCCTTTTAAATGTAATACGCCTTTAATGTAATACCCTTTTAAATGTAATACGCCTTTAATGTAATACCCTTTTAAATGTAATACGCCTTTAAATGTAATACGCCTTTAAATGTAATACGCCTTTAAATGTAATACGCCTTTAAATGTAATACGCCTTTAAATGTAATACGCCTTTAAATGTAATACGCCTTTAAATGTAATACGCCTTTAAATGTAATACGCCTTTAAATGCAATACGCCTTTAAATGTAATACGCCTTTAACTGAGATATAAATTACCTTTATATGCAATAATGACTTAAAGCCGTCAGTTTACCCTAAAATATTACCTAATTATCACACGTAACCTAAAGTAATAGTTAAGGTTGAAAGTTACCTTAAATATAAAGGAGATAATACAAGTCTTCTTCCTCCTCCTCCTCCTCGTCTTCCTCCTCCTCCTCCTCGCCGTCTTCCTCTTCCACCTCGCCTTCTTACTGCTCCTCGTCTTCCTCCTCCTCCTCGCCTTCCTCCTCCTCGCCTTCCTCCTCCTCCTCGCCTCTCCTCCCTTCTGCCTTCCTCCTCCTCCTCGTCCACCCTGGGCCTCTGCTCCTCGTCTTCCCTCCTCCTCCTCCTCGCCAGTCTTCCCTCTCTTCCACTGCCTTCTTACTGCTCCTCGTCTTCCTCCTCCTCCTCCTCCTCCTCTCGTCTTCCTCCTCCTCCTCGCCTTCTTCGTCATCATCTTCGTCCTCCTTCTCATCTTCCTCGTCCTCCTCCTCCCCGTGTTCCTTCTCCTCTTCCTTTCTCCTCCTACTCTACATCCTCTTTCTTGTTGTCCCTTTCCTCCCCGTCGTCATCTTCTTCCTGCTCCTCCCTCTCCTCTTCCTCCTCATTATCCTCCTGTTTCTCCTCCTCCTCCTCCCTCTCCTCTTCCTCCTCCTGTTTCTCCTCCTCCTCCTCCTCCTCCTCCCTCCTCTCCTCTTCCTCCTCCTGTTTCTCCTCCTCCTCCTCCTGTTTCCTCTTCCTCCTTCTCATAATTAAAATGAATTAGTACTGAAGCTTAAAGTGGTTTGAAGGTCCAAACTAATTAAATCTTCTGGCCATTGAAGCTTCCAACCAAGGAACCTACAGACCAGATAATCTTCAAACGATTGAACTTTCGAACCAGTCCCTGAACCTTTGAACTAGTGACTGAACCTTTGAACGAGTGACTGAACCTTCGAACGAGTGACTGAACCTTTGAATGAGTGACTGAACCTTCGAACGAGTGACTGAACCTTTGAATGAGTGACTGAACCTTTGAACCAGTGACTGAACCTTCGAACGAGTGACTGAACCTTTGAATGAGTGACTGAACCTTCGAACGAGTGACTGAACCTTTGAATGAGTGACTGAACCTTTGAACCAGTGACTGAACCTTCGAACGAGTGACTGAACCTTTGAACAAGTGACTGAACCTTCGAACCAACTAATAAACTTTTGAATCAATATATATCGACCTTCAAATACATATATGATCTTTCGAAGCAATAAATGAACCTTACCACAAATGAACCCCGAAACGAATGAACCTTTCGAACTAATGAAGCTCCGAAACATAAGTTAACTTGTAAATATAATGATTTTTGACAGATTTAAAGTTAGAATCGCGTTAACAAGATAAATATGGTGGAAAGGAAGAAAAGTCGATATTTACTGACTCTTGAACGAAGGAAGGAAGTGAGATAAGATAAAAGGAATATTATAAACTATATAAGAATAATGATTATAAGGAAGCTTGTGATGGTTATAAGGAAATGTATGTTAAAGATGATATAGAAAGTTTATATTAATAATGATAAAGATGAAGGTAGTGGTGATAATAATGGGAAGAGAGTTACGAATAATAATAATAGTAATAACATTGATAATGATGATAATGATGATGATAATAATAATAATAATGATAGTGATAATAATGATAATGACGACGATGATGATGATGATGATGATAATAATAATAATAATGATAGTGATAATAATGATAATGACGACGATGATGATGGTAATAATGATGATGATGATAATATGAAAAAGATAACTTGTTCAGTAAAATAAAAATATTCTCCTCAATTACATCTCAGAATAAAAAATAACTCTTCATTATTTACCAACATATTCCATAATGTTTCACACACTAGCGTCAATTACTACACCAGACTGAGTGAAAATTAATGATCATGAAAATGCAAATATTATGTGTAATTGTTAAATCATATTGAATTACCACACACACACACACACATACACACACACACACACACACAAATACATACCTACATACATACATACATACATACATACATACATACATACATACATACATACACCCTCCTGACCTACACTCTCGCCAACCTGTACGAATTTGCTGAAGGTTTTGGATATTTACAGGTTCGTAGTTGAATGTTCCTCTTAAATAAAGGTGTATGAATGTGTCTAAAGATATAGTATAGGAACACCTTAAGTCTGTGTGAGTGTTGATCTTATCTCCCGGTGCGTCAGTTCTGGACGTGCGTAGTTAAGGTGGAATCTCAGTGTAAATTGTAGGTTGTTGTTCGACGTAATGTTCTTCATTTTGTTCTGTTTCTTACGGTAAATGGGGCAGTCAGTTGTGTTCTGTCTTCACTCACGAGATTATCCCTCGAGTTAGCCTTTAACACTCTGGGTGCAGGATTCACTCAACGTTCATTCCTGCTTTCTTGTGCAAAAATCTTTATGCAAATTTATGCCAAAAAAAAATCTGCTTTACATTTTGTTTTTCTCCTTAGTGTTATAAGGATCAAGTCGCTGGGAAGAATAAACTTAATTTTTTTTCGTATTTTTCACACTGATGTTTATATTAATAAAGATAATTATTCACTGTTTTATTATGGCAAATATCTTGTTTTCTCACACATGTAAACATATATGTAAAGCGTATAGCCAACACAATATATAAATATAAATATATCTGTACATAACAAACATATTATACACACACACACACACATACACACACACATATATATATATATATATATATATATATATATATATATATATATATATATATATATATATATATATATATATATATATATATATATATATATATATATATATATATATATATGTTTGTGTGTATGTATATAAACACAAAACATATCAACAAACAGAAATAGTCACAAACACTTACCACATGTCCACTAGCGTCTCAAGTCGTACACAACATGGTCACCACACTCACACTATACATATCACGGACGCCAACCATAATAAAAACAGTACCACTAAAATATTTCTACGGTGTCAAGACGAGAGACCGACAAACACACACACCGGGGTTCTCAGTGTCAACCATTGTAGAAATCTCTTTCCACTATAACCAGTTGATCTCTCCTAGACCAACCGGTTATGACAAGTTCTGGGGAATACGGTAGTAGTACGATCAGTCCACCTCACACGACCATGGCCGACACTCAACTGACTCGCTCGCTAGGTTCGGACCCCCCCACTGCTCTCTCTCTCTCTCTCTCTCTCTCTCTCCCCGGGTCGAGGCAGGCAGGCAGGCGCCCCGTACCGAGCGTAGTGGTGAGAGCCCCCCTCCACCACCCCCAACCACCCCTCCTGACCCCCAACCACCCCTCCTAACCTAACCTAACCTCCCTCAACCACCCCTCCTGTCTTTTGGGAACTTGGCGATCTGTTGGTGTTGTTGCAGCGGGAATATAATGTTAACTGCTATTGCTGTAAGGGTGAATATTGTTCCTAATGTATTGGTTAGTGTAGACGGCACTGCACTTGACCTCATTCACTTCCTCATGAGTACAGTTAGGTACCCATTCACAGCTCACTGGTCTAAGGTGTGTCCCAAGCGTGAACCAGCGACTCTTAGAGCAAAAGGCGAGTACAGTAGCCAACCAACCACATAATATTCGCACCGGCCAATTATTCCTTTCTGTTGCAACGGGAAATATTCCGTCAACCGGTAACACAACGGCAATCTTCAAATATACTATTAATATATACCCCGTTAAATAATCTCTCAGTTAAAGCAGATATACAGTACAACGAAACCTCTATATAACGAACGATATCGAGAGGACAGTTCGTTATATCGAGGATTTATTAGATGTGAAACCTAACGAACTATAGAGAGATGAAAGAACGCTATATCGAGAGTCCGTTAGATATGGTAAGCCCCTGATTTACGGATTATAGAAGTCCGCTATATGGAGGTTTTACTGTATATAGAAATTTGTGTCTGTGTGTGTATGTCCTAAGGTAAAATGGTTTCTTCAGAGATGCGTCAATAGATGGCTTTTAAACCTTATCTCAGTACCTGGAAGTGTGGTCACGGCTTACACACACACACACACACACACACACACACACACACACACACACACACACACATAAACACAACAGAGACACAGACAGACAGACAGACAGACAGACAGACAGACAGACAGACAGTCCTACACTTGGCACATTCTCTTGTCATTTTCCTCGTTACAAGACTCCCGTTATTAAGCCTTAGAAGGGGTATGAATTTAATTTTGTTACCTGTCCGTGATACGTTGCCAGAACTCAGGTGTTTTCACGATTTTTTCACATAAATATCATCTTGGTACGTGTCTCTCTCTCTCTCTCTCTCTCTCTCTCTCTCTCTCTCTCTCTCTCTCTCCGTCTCTGTCTCTCTCTCTCCTTTAACTTGTACATTGTTCTTGTTCCCTTCCTTATGTTCCTTTATTTATCGTTTCTCCGTTTCTTTTCATTCGTGTTTATTTTTCTCATTTTCCTCCGTTCTTTTCTGGGTCTTCCATCTATTCCCCTTTCTTTAGTTATTGCTTTTCTCTTTCTTTACTTTCTTTCATTATTATATCGTCTTATTTTCTTTTATTCTTCGTAGTCTCTGTCCATCTTTCTGTCTGTGTGTCTATTTGTCCGTCTACCTGCCTACATCTCTGTTTACCTGTCTTTCTGCCTTTCTGTCTGTACCCATCTACCTGTCTTCTTGTCCGTCTACCTGTCTGTTTACCTGTCTACCTGCCCGTCTACCTGTCTATCTGCCCGTCTACCTGTCCCCTTGCCAGTCTACCTATCTGCTTCTCATTCTGCCCTTTTACCTGTCTGTCTACCTGTCTGCTTGCCCGTCTACTTCTGTCTGTTTTTCTCAGCCAAACGTATATTCTTCTCTGAGAAACCTTATGATGATAACGTGATATGTGTCTCAGAGATTATTAGACGTGGCTGGTTGACGTCCAAGCTTGTGTGTATTAGGAGAAAGGGGTGGAGAGGGGTGGAGAGAGGGGGGGTTGGGGTGGAGAGGGGTGGAGAGGGGTGGAGAGAGGGGGTTGGGGGGTGGAGAGGGGTAGAGAGGGTGGGAGAGGGGGGTTGGGGGTGGAGAGGGAGTGAGAGGGGTGGAGAGAGGGGGGGTTGGGGTGGAGAGGGGTGGAGAGAGAGGGGGTTGGGGTGGAGAGGGGTGGAGAGAGGGGGGGCTGGGGGTGGAGGAGGAGGGAGAGGGGGGAGAGAGGGGGGGTTGGGGTGGAGAGGGGTGGAGGAGGGGTGGAGAGAGAGGGGGGGTTGGGGGGAGGGGTGGGAGAGAGGGGGGTTGGGGGTGGAGAGGGGTGAGAGGGGTGGAGAGAGGGGGGCTGGGGGGTGGAGAGGAGTGGAGAGGGTGGAGAGAGGGAGGGTTGGGGTGGAGAGGTGGAGAGGGTGGAGAGGGGAGGGGTAGAAAGAGAGATTATTGGATGGAGGTACAGAGAGATAAACAAGATGGGATAAAGAGAGAGAGAAGGAGAATCGAGAGAAAGATTAAAAGAAAAAGAGAGAGAGACACACACACACACACACAAAGAATCTAACCTTAACCTTGCCTTACCTTGCCTTACCTTGCCTTACCTTGCCTTACCTTGCCTTACCTTGCCTTACCTTGCCTTGGGTCATTTGGGAAAACTTACCTGGGCTGTGAGAGACCCAGTCAACAAGGTGAAGGGGGTTCATTACCTTTGATCTCTTACCTTTACCAAACATTTGTATACAACCCCGCCTCCAGGAGAGACGTGAGAGACGTGAGAGACGGGAGAGACGTGAGAGACGTGAGAGACGTGAGAGAGAAGGGAGGGGGAAGGAGAGAGAGACAGAGGGTAGGGTGAAGGGAGGGAGAAGAGGTGGATTATGTGAGAAAAGGGAGAAAGGAAGGGAGGGTGAGGCAGGAGGGGGAAAAGGGGTAGGAGAGAATGAGAAAATGGAAGATAAAAAAGGTTGAGAGGGAGAAGAGAAGGAGGAGAGAAGAAGGAGGAAGTGTTAAAGATGGAGAATAGAAGGCTAGAGAACGAGATACTAAATAAGGAGGAGGGAGAAACAGAGAGAATAGAGAGGGAGGGAAAACAGAGAGAGTGAGAGAGAGGGAGGGAGAGAGCAGAGTAGAGAGAGAGAGGGGAAGAAACAGAGAGAGTGAGAGCAGAAGTGAGATGAGAGGGAGGGAGAAACAGAGGTGAGAGAGAGAGGGAGGGAGGCAGAGGAAGGAGAGGGAGGGAGAAACAGAGAGAGAGAGGAGAGAGAGAGAGCAGAGAGAGAGAGAGAGGGAGGGAAACGTAAATGGAGAAATGACAATAAAGTTTGGAATAGCAGAAACAGACAATTGAGTTAAGGATAGAAAAGTGGATGGAAGACAAGGGATAAAAGTTGGAACAGGAGGAAAAAAGACAAATATGCGGATAGGACTAAAAAATGAATAAGCTATAATGGATAGATAGAGAGAGAAAAGAGATAGAGATAAAGAGACAGATGAGAGATAAAGAGATAGATAGGGAGATAAAGAGACAGATAGAGATAAAAGAGACAGGTAGAGATAAAGAGAATATTGATGTATAAAGAGAAAGTTGACAGAAAAGAAGAAAAGGTAAATGAGAATAAGTAGAAAAAAAGAGGAAGAGAGTGAAGACGAGGAAGAAGGGAGAACAGACAAGACTAAAGATGAGAGACAGAGAGACACTGAGAGACCTACCATGAGCACTTGTTTAAGACAGAAACTGTCTCTCTAGAAATCAATACAGAGTGAGGGAGATAAGGGTGAGGAGAGAGATAAGGGGTGAGGGAGAGAGATAAAGGGTGGAGATAAAGGGTGGGGAGAGATAAAGGGTGAGGGAGAGAGATAAAGGGTGAGAGAGAGAGATAAAGGAGGTGAGGGAGAGAGATAAAGGGTGAGGAGAGAGATAAAAGGGTGAGGGAGAGAGAGACAAAGGGTGAGGGGAGAGAGATAAAGGGTGAGGGGAGAGATAAGGGTGAGGAGATAAAGGGTGAGGGAGAGAGAGATAAAAGGGTGAGGAGAGAGATGGGGTGAGAGAGAGATAAAAGGGTGAGGGAGAGATAAAGGGTGAGGAGAGAGATAAAGGGTGAGGAGAGATAAAGGTGAGGGAGAGAGATAAAGGGTGAGGAGGAGAGAGATAAAGAGGTGAGGAGAGAGACAAGGGTGAGGGAGAGAGACAAAGGGTGGGGAGATAGAACAGGGTGAGAAGAAGAAAGAGAGAGGAAACTGAGAGAAGAAGAAGAGTGAGGAGAGGTTAAAATGGGTAGGAAAGGTAAGAGGAGGAGGAGAGTAGGGTGAGAGGGAGGTGAGAGGAGGTGAGAAGGGCTTGGAGGTGACGTTTAATGAGGCGGCAGTGAGAGGAAATAGGAGTGACTGTGTGATGTGAGAAGAAGGGAGAGGAAGAATAGGGAGAGGGAGGGGAAAAGGAAGAGGGAGAGGAGAATTAAAATTGACGTGATTGTGAGAATTAAAGTAATCTCTCTCTCTCTCTCTCTCTCTCTCCACCTTCTTTCACAGCTCAACTACTTCGATTTCAAATGAACACGCCATCGGCATTCCCATTCCCATTCCCAACTTATGATATACCGTCGAGAAAATTCCCATTCCGGATAAACGAGATAATTCCCAAGTTTGTTTTTTATCACTTAAAATTCCGGACATAAATTCAAACTTTCTTTTACTGTATTTTTTATGTATTGTTGTATTTGAAAGTACTGTATTTCCTGTATTGTATTATCAGCTGTGACTATTGCATCCGGTAGTGTATCGTGTATTATAACTTATTGTACCACTCTCCTGTACCACTCTCCTGTACCACTCTCCTGTACCTGCCCTTAATACAGTTGTAGGAAGAGTGACAGTGATTCAAAATAGCCGCCATTCATCACATTCCTCTCTCTCTCTCTCTCTCTCTCTCTCTCTCTCTCTCTCTCTCTCTCTCTCACATTCACGCCAGTAATATTGACGCTGGCAACTGATGGTGTGAGAAAAACATGGTCGCTGGAGTTTTATTTCAAAGTTGATTTTTATTCGGGTTTTTAGTCGGGTTTTTAGTCGGGTTTTTAGTTTGGATTTTAGTCGGTTTTAGTCAGGTTTTGGTGGGTTTTCTTTTTTAGATTTTTGGGGGGTTTTATGGAGAGGTTTTGTTACTGTGGGTTTTGTAGGAGGCAGTTGAGGATT